TGGCACCAAAAACTGAGCTGTTCCCGAGTCGTACCGTGAACTTGTAAATTATGCAAGCCGTGTGACCAAACTGAGCGGCTGTGTCACCACTATCTGATTGGTCGAAATGATTGGTCGAGATTGCGCTGATCTCCGTTTCTATACATGCATTATCTGAAGGAAAAACAGGCATTATTAGTAATATCACAGTTCGTGATGCATTAATGTATTCCCCATAACTTCGAACCTCCTATTTAAAAAAGTACTATAGAGCAGCTGTGAGTGGAATGTATTTGTAATGTTAATTCCCTTAGCACTTCATGCTAACATAACACAGTGATATTCACAGTGCTAGCAGAAATTAGCACATATTAAATCACTATTTACACCGTGTGAACAGTAAATAAGCGTCCCTTTGGTTTATGTCACTGTCGCAGACGCAGCAACACCTTTACCAACCCGACCCTTATGCAGTGGAAAACCGAAGCGAGCTGGAGCCGCACTGTAACTAGTGACACCTTACAGTGCAGCTGTGCTCCTATACGTCAATGGAAAAGTACTCTTAATGAAATGATTGGCCTATTAGAAATCACTCTTCAGGGACCCTGAGTACCTCAGCATGCTAAAACAATGATATTTCTCCTTCATTTTCAAAATTGTTTTATATATATATTCATGTTTGATGTTCAGTTCACGATCAGTGTCAGATACAACACTGCAAAACAACGCCAAAAACACAGGTATGCAGTGAAGCAGTGGGAATTCAGACGCCGCCACAGCGCCCCGCACAATGGCCAGTGTTCAGCAGTATTTCCTGGCCCTGGACTGGCAAGCCGGCCTCTGCAGTTTTTCTCAGTTCCTTTGGGCAATTTCTCTAAACTGTCTTGAGGTTCTCTCAAATAATTTGGATAACCAGCAAAATGAATTAATTCATTCAAACCTTTCATTCATGTTTCAAGATGCAGTTTTCTTGTTACCTGTTTGGTCAATGACACCAAAATGTGAAATCTCTGAATCAGTGCCTACAGACATACCAGTCAAAATGTTTAGTCATGTTGTCAACATAAAACTATACTGTGGAAGTATTTTAAGAATTAAAATTGATCAGTTGTTACTTAATTACTTCATTATCGTTTCTCGATAGCCAGCTGAGATTGTCATCACAGGCAGCATCCGCTGCAGTGAGTTAAGAAACATGACTGTGTGGCTTGGATGTCATCACAGGCAGCATCCGCTGCAGTGAGTTAAGAAACATGGCGGTGGGGCCGGGATGTCATCACAGGCAGCATCCGCTGCAG